AGTAAAACCACAATGAGACACCTCTAGATAGTCAGCAGAATGGCTACAATTAAAGACCGACAATAGCAAATGTTGATAAGAGCAAGGAGCCACTGAAACTCTCGGACATGGCTACAGGCAGCGCAAAATGATACGATCGCCATGCAACACAATTGGATAGGTTCTTACAAAATTAAACATACACTTACCATGCAACCCAGTGACCCCACTCCTGGGGATTTCACCACATATGAAATGTAAACATACATCCACATAAAGACTTGCATAGGAATGTTCATGGCTGCGCAAAAAACTAACCTAATGTATCTACACAACGGAACGCCACCACCACCGGGGAGGGGAGGATGAATGAAGCGCTGATACACACAACATCCTGGGTGAATCCCAAAACAGTGTGCTGAGCAAAAGGCACCAGCCATATCTTTTCATCTCTGTTACAATCTAGAAAAGGCCCATCTACCGTGCAGCGATGGAAAGCAGGTCAGTGGTTGCCTGGGAACAAGGGATGGGGAAGGTTGACTGGGATAACACACTGAGAGACACCTGTAGTTGTCATGGCAACAGTGTGCATCATCCTAGGGGAAGCGATTCAGTCAGGTGAATACATTTGTCAAAACTCATCCAAATGTACATTTAAAGTGGGTGTGTTTTCACTGTACCCAAATGGTACCTCAAGAATCTTTCATTTTTTGAAAAACAGCCACGGGGGGGAAAAAAGGGGATGAGTACCTTGAAAGTAAAAATAGTTAGACTGACAGTAACTGCTCCACACAAACAATGTAAGCTAGAAGACAATATAATGATATAGTCAGAGTGCCAAGACAAAATAACTGCCAGCTTAGGTGTCTCCTGCCAGGGAAAGCGTTCTTCCACAAGAAAAATGAAGCGGAGGCATTTTCATACCAGCAAAAACCGACAATATTTACCTACAGCACACGCTATTAGGTAAAATACTAACAAGGCAGAATCCAAGTGATCCCAGATGGGAGACGAGAGATGCAGGAAGGGAAAAGAGCAAAGAAACTATAAATACATAGGGACAATAAGTGAATATCGACTATATAATATAACACGGATGGAGTGGTAACCTGCACAGCACAGCATATAATTAGGGAACGTGATAATGGAATTAAAGTATCATAAGGAACTGTGGAAATATGGCATAGGGACCAATATTAGACACCCAGAAATAAAAGTGACATGATGAATTCTCTAGAGGAGCCGGTAAGACAATAAGAGTATAAGACGTCACACATACAGACAACTTATTTATTATTATTATATTCCATCCTTTCCCTTAATCAATCCAACAGAAAGCGAGGGAGGAATACAGAACAGGGGCGATAGAGTCAGGTCTCCCAGGAACAGGAGGGCGGGGCGGGCAGGTGGGCACACAGCAGACATTGGAGACCACGCGCGGCAGGGCTGCACAAGGCCTGGGGTGCCCAGTGTCCAGCTTAAAAAGGCCCCAGCAAAGTGTCCCCAGGCCAGGCTGGGATTGTGAGCTCACGGGCGGATTGCACGCTTGGGCTCACCGCTGGGGTGGCGTGACACTACCTGTCCCCCACACACCACTGCACCTAGTGGCTGCAGGAAGAAGACAAAACAGGAGCACGGGGATGAGCACACTCCCACCTGCAGTGTCCCTCCAGCGCCCTCTACTGACCAAGCTTGCCATCACGCCCGCTGCCGAGGAAACACGATTAGCGTCTCAGAGTAGGCGCTGCAGGGTGACTTGGGGGCTGAGAACCAAACCATTTATAAC